AAACGGACCAACTCAATCTATTTTGTTTAAAGAACTAGAGTCGATCACTCACAGCTTTCACAATCCTTTTTACCTCCTCTCAGAGATATCTAGATCTCATACTTGTGCAGGTAATGACCAAACGACTAAGTGATAAACTTTATATCAAGCCTCTGAAGCCGAACCTTATCTTAATCTCATCCTTCGAGAGATTTTTTTTGGGGGTAAAAATCACAACTGAAAGATTTTGTTTACCAAGAGTTACCAAGAAAATAAATGTTTACTTTCCCATGAACTAGAATAATCTCCTTTGGGATCAGAACAGCAGTAATCAGCAGTATCATTGTCCTTCTCTATCTATTCCATCATCTTGTCGGTTCCTGTTGTGAGCTCAGAAGCAATCAATAGCAGTAACACTATCTCTTCCGATCTATTACAGAAGATCACTGTCCCGATTTTAAAGGAGAATGTGTCCACGGTGGATATTTAAGTCTAGTCCATGGTGAATGTAGATGTAACTGTCCGCCAGGTTTTGATACCAACACCAACTGTGCTGATATCCTCAGAACTTGTAAGTATATCATGAGGAAACGTTTCTATATCCTTTTTCGAATAACACTATCAAAATTGTCTGTTATTATTATTATTCCATTGGCGTAAAAGAATGACCTGTGGTCCACTTGGAAATTGTGTGGACCCTGCTCGACCCCCTCACCTGATGTTTTCTAGAAACGGCGCTGTTGCGTACTCCATTGCCGTAAAGCTTCATTCCTTTTGAAATCGTTTTCATTACAGCTTCCACAATCTCTAAATGGCCTAAAGGATATTACGCCATGTTTAAACCCACCGAGGGATGTCCCAATGGATTTAAAGAAGGATCGGTGACACACCATTCAGAAGCCAATAATCTGATTGGATCACCATTCAATCTATCTGGTGACTACTCACAGTCGACCTTTACCCACGAATTCTGTGTGATGTCCGAGACTAAAGATGGCGAAGATTGGGAACTCGGACAGTATTGTATATTGAGAGCTGGTGGAGCCTGTCCAATAGGTATAACATCTTGAGCAATTATAACTGAAATCAATACCAATAGTTGTTTGACTGGTGAAGAGTGTAAGGAAGATTTCTACGTTCGCTGGTACCAGTGATCCATGGCTCTCAGTCCATCCATCGAGAAACACTGCAATAGCTCTGGGACCTTTCTATCGTGCTTACTCTTGAGCCTGGATTTCTGTTAAGTCGACTCTCATTGTACCCCTCCTATAATTTCTCGTTCTTTCCAGGATTTGAAGAAGGATTCATTCAATTTGATGATGCACCAGAAGTTGCTGGGGAATCGATAGAGACACAGACTTCCGGTAAACTACCTGATGGGATATTTACCGAGGATGTTGGGATACACGTCTGCTGTAGAAACGATGGATATGTAAACGAACCAATCAGTATGCCACTAGATAAACCGTTTGTGTTGATACCGTACGATTATCGCCACCCTTGTCAACATGTCGATGGTGAGTAATTAACAGAATAAGAAGGTTTTACCTTAAATTTGGAATATGGCTTCAGAAAGTGAAAAAACGAAACGAAACAAATCTGTGGATGTGAATTAAATAAAGCACCACTTATACATGATTCTACAGTTGTCTTCCATGATTTGATGCAACCTTGGCAGATGAATCGACATCTTAAAGATCTAAGGCATCAATTTATGTATTTTTCAGGTGCGGAGGGTTACAACGAGTTTTTTAGATTTGCTAATGATGTTTCCGGTGTGGCTAAATTAAGTGGTGAAACTAACTTTGTATTCGACATGTTTAATAAGTTTAAACTTCACTTCTGCTACTACGTTCCTTATCAGAAAGGTAGACAACTCTTTACTCACTCTAGAAACATTCAGCAATAATTTGACTTTTTTGTTACCAATTAGAGTGACTGGCTGAGCTGAAAGGAGATCAATATTTCCAAATTTTTAACGTCACTTAAAGCTGCCACTACTATATTTCTGACTACGGGCGTAAGTGCACCCTAATGTTACGCCGATTTCTTGATTCTTACTCACCTGATTGTTGACAATATATTCAAATCGACGCCATGTTTATCTTTCAGATTGTGGAAAAGTTATTACGTTATCGCCAGATGAACCGGAAGTGACATTTTCATCTCCAGGTAACCCAGACGGATATGACGACAACCAAGAGTGTACGTGGTTGATTGAGGTAAAGGTCGTGATCTAGTGTTTGTTTCTATACAATTATAAACACTGTAGAGTAGATTTTGTAGTAGAAATTTGAAGGGTATAAGTTTGTAGTTTGTCAGTGTGCTAACATTCTGTTAATGATTCTTTTTGTTCAGGGCCCTAGAAACTGTAATATTCTGTTAAATTTTGAGGAGTTTGATTTTGAGGTTGTGGATGAGAAATGTAAAGATGGTGTTGAGATTAGATATAATCAGATTGGACAAACTGGATTTAGGTAAGAGTACATCACCAGTACCATATACGTTTCGTTTTTGTTCCATTTCGCTAGGCGTGTATTAAGCATATCAGAGATAGGTATCGTGTGCTAAACTTGCTATATATCTAAACTCTGTCACCCCATCTTCTGTGGATCATAAAATAGCATCATCGTTACAGGTATTGTGGGGAACAGATAGAGAAAAGCATTAGAAGTATCAATAATTTTATAGTATTATGGATGAAAACTGATATGTCTGGTAGTCGGAAAGGATTTAAAGCTAATGTCAAGTTGATAACACGTAAGTATCTTTATCACAATATCACAATAAATAGTGAAACTCCTCCAACAAACCGGTTGGCTTCTCATCACACTAACAGAACTTGCCGATGTAGAGGGTAAATGGCATACTACAGACGTCGGATTAAAAATGTGAATGGCGCAAAGGGATGCTATCTTTGTCCCGATACACAATCCTCTTTACAATCCATTTAATGTTCATTTCAAGATAATCTAAAGTGTCGTCTACCTGTGTTTCAGCTGATGACCTCTGTTATGAAGCTAGTGATAGAGGTAAATCATATCGAGGAACTGTGAATTACGACAGAGAGTTCACACATTGTGTACCTTGGAGTCAAACCACCAATTGTCCCTATCACCAGTTCTCTGATACGTAAGTTTGGGAAGCTCTTCGGGAACCACCTGCCAAATCTCATCTTTACAATGTCAAGCTATTGCACTCAAGGTATAAGACCAACGTTGTAATTGTTTGACATTGTGATGATGGCCAAATCTCTGCTCAGTTTGGATTTACCGTATTATTTGAATTTAATTAGTTTCTTGAAACCAACCGATCGAAGAGAAGACTGATGCCCCTGTCCTGGCACAATTTCCCTCATTGCACACTGCGTGGCTTGGTGTAGCCTCCTGACATCAACGAGTTATTCTTAGAGAGGATCAACACTTTTTCATACGTCCTAAGAGATTCTCATTTTTAGACCTTACGATTTTTACAGAGGATCTGGGGCACCATTAGAAGAGAATTATTGCAGAAACCCAGATGATACTTTCAGACCGTGGTGCTATATCCGGAACGGAGAAGGGGAATGTATGAGAAACTATTGTGATGTTTGCGGCTTCGGTACGTTTTCCATGTTCTTAGCTTGGTATGATGAGGGTATTCCCCTTTCGATTATAGCGCTATAATCGTATGGTAGACCGCATAGGCGGTAGATCAAGGGTTTTTCTTGGGTCATCTTGTTTCTGGTGTGTGTTCTAGAGAAGCTGTTATCAATGTAAAACACGAACGAAGCGCGGCATAGCCCAGTTAATTATAAAGACCAAGGGTTTATATCAAGACATCTGGTTATCTCTCATCTGCAGCTGTTATCAGTGTAAGATATTGATAAACAACAGTGATGTGCAGCATCACGCAAAAAACAGCAGGTGCTTATGAGAAAGATAATTCCCTGAATCGTACCGAAATTCTCATTTAAGCACATGTCCCCAAAGATAACGAAAAATTTAAAAACTTGTTTATTACAGAGAGTCTGTATGATAAGGACGCAGATTGTGAGAAGCTAAAAGCTGATGGATTCTGTTTAAAACCAAGAGATGAAGTCATTTCTAAATGCGCCAAGACTTGTGATCTCGAAGCTATTAAATCTGATTTAGGTGAGTAATCGCATCTTGATCATTTGTTATGACCCCGGAGATTACCATTCCTGCGCCATCCCCAGTTCTACAAAAGTAACTCCAAATTTTTAACATATTCTTCATTTCAGTGTTAACTATTTCCTGCCCGGCACCAAGCATCCCAGAAGATTCCGAGACTCTGTTTGATCCCGATGATACTTACTCTGTTGGAGATGCAGTTACCTTCAAATGTAAAACCGCAAGTGATTCCCATAATGTGACCTGTTTGTCGGATGGGACGTGGTCAGCTGCCCAATTCGTATGTGGAGGTAAGATATGAAAACTGGACCTGACCTTGTTGGGATCTAGGACGGTACCATCTTCACAATGTCAAGCTATTACATACCTCGTCTTATACCTTGACTACAATAGCAACCTTCCTTTTATCAAGAGAGCAATTTTGTTATTTTTATGATTGGAAAACCGTCGGTTAGTAATAGCTTGACATAGTGAATATTGCGGGAATGGGGTTGGTAATAGCTTGACATAGTGAATATTGCGGGAATGGGGTTGGTAATAGCTTGACATAGTGAATATTGCGGGAATGGCTTGACATAGTGAATATTGCGGGAATGGGGTTGGTAATAGCTTGACATAGTGAATATTGCGGGAATGGGGTTGGTAATAGCTTGACATAGTGAATATTGCGGGATTGAGGTTGGTAATACCTTGACATAGTGAATATTGCGGGAATCGGGTTGGTAATAGCTTGACATAGTGAATATTGCGGGAATGAGGTTGGTAATACCTTGACATAGTGAATATTGCGGGAATGAGGTTGGTAATACCTTGACATAGTGAATATTGCGGGAATGAGGTTCGTAATAGCTTGACATAGTGAAGATAGATTTCCAACTTTTGACAGGTTGTTCACCGGGCTGGACTCGTCACCATGGAGATTGTTACCAATATTTTAAAGATGTTTCCTCCTTTACTGTTGCTGAAAAATCCTGTCAGGACCTTGGTGGAATTATGGCTGCCAGTAAAACACAAGAGGAAGTAGACTTTCTTTCTTCACTAAGGTAAGCATTTTGAATGTTTTTTGCAAGTCAAAATCGGGCAAATCCATGCAAACTATGAAAACATAAACCTTACAGCTCTGTCCTTCATTAACAGGCACTCACACCATGGTGATCACTAGTAGGTGAGGGGGGCAAACTTTTTAAGAGGGCTCAACTATGTGACTCATCAACACATTCAAGTTATCTGAGGAACTTCATCATTACGCTGCGTACTCTGAAACTTTCAACTTCATGTTTAGGGACATAAAGTAGACCCTAGGCAATCATCTGTTTGGGTAAAGTATCCACAACTGTTGTACATTCATCAACAGCATCTCCTTTAAGTTTTTACACATTTCAGACCAAAGACTGCCAAGATATGGATTGGTCTGACGGACAGAGCGGAGGAAGGGACCTTCAAGTGGCTGGATGGGTCATCTGTCGTCTGGGATAATTGGGCAGAAGGTAAGGCGGTTTATTAAAAGATTCCCAAGATTCGTAGAGACAACGCACATGTTCTGAGTCACTCTGGTCTTCAGATGGGAGATATTGGATTACCCGCAATGTAGGACAAGCCATAAAAACGTTTGACTTTTCTTGCATTCTACGTTCATGGCATAGAGATATGTTGATATATTCCTATCGTTTGTAAAACGAAATGAACCTATTAAAGAGGCCCTCACACCATAGTGATTACCAGTTGCGTACGGTTTCTCATATTACTGGGTTGTGTGTTGCGTTCAGAACTTGTGGTCACTTTCATTATTAGCAACCATACGGTTAGCCGCTATGATGTGAGGGCCCCTTTAGTAAATAAAAGTAATATTTTGTATTAAAGGTTCTCCCAATGGTCAATATGGACATGAAGATTGTGTAGTGATGTATGGTGAACAGGTCAACAGTAAATGGAATGATCACCCTTGTTCTTCTCAACATTACCAATATCCTTTCATCTGTCAGTATACACCTTCAGGTAGGTTCTCACAGTTTATCCCAAACGGCGTTTTGTCGCATTGCGTTTCGCAGTTTCAACATCCCTATACCCTGCAGTGTATCCTTCTTGTAGCGTTTTACTGAATACCTTTAAATATGTATAGCTAATTGTGGACAAAGGTAGAGACCAAGTGGGCATGGGCATTTCTATTTTCTATTACAGAACGCGAGCTGTGTATTAACAGACGCAGTGATTGCAGAGAGTTACTGGAAGAAACGCCTACAATGTGTCACGATTATCCCGACTTCAGTTCTGAAAATTGTGCAGTTGACTGTGGTCTTTGTAAATCAGAATCTATAGAAGG